GTACACGACGCTCTTCCGATCTTATATATATATATATACTGTATATATGCATATTTACGTGCATGAATACATTAAATACGCATGCATATATATTTAAATGCCTTATGCATGCAATTATTTATTTTTCTCTCCTTTATAGCTACTAGTGGGGGCCCGTAGGGCGGAGGGAGTCGAGCTCCATCACCCTGTATAACAAAAGAAAAAAAAGGCAAAAGAAAAGGGAAATTAAATAAAAAGAGTAAAATAATAATTGGCGTGTATAGGCAGCTGCTGCGTAAGCCCTATTCAACTTACCGATAGTGACGTCCATGGGAATCCACAAGAAATGCTCGTCCTATACACACAAGCCCCCAAAACTCCATGCATGCATGCATGCATGCATGCATACGTGCATGCACGCATGCACGTATGTATCCAATTATGCATGCATGCAACTTTGGGGCTTCTTACCTAATTCATCTCTGTATATTGGGGTGAAGGGTATCTCGTTATGTCTTGCCTTGGCCCTACAAACAACAACAGCAACCAACAACAGAAAACAAAAGAAAAAAAGGAGAAAAAGAGCATATTGTGCAGAGAAGCAGCAGACTGTCTGTGCCTGCCTCCTTATTCTCTCTCTTTTTTTTCTTATTATATTAAGACTGTTTTCCTCTATTTGTCCCTCTTTTCTCCTTCTTCCCTTCCCCCTTAACTATCTGCTCCCTCCTTACCGTGAGTGTCTATACACCGCAAAAAAGAGAATCATAGGCAGCACAAGCAACGGCAACGCTCGTGCAATAGCAAAGGCAGGACCAAAGACAATTCTTCTTCTTGCTGCTTCTTCCTCATCTCTGTTACCATATGCATGCCTTTGCTCCTGTACAAATACATGCATGCGCATGCATGCAGCCAGCCCCATACATTACGCAAAATATGCATGCATGCATGCATGCATGCATAGATTTAGATATGTATACAACATGTTGCTAAGTTATCCCCCCTATTCTTTCCCACTGTATCTTCTATATGATGCCTATGCCTGAGGTGTATAGGCAGGTAGCCTATATATATAGACTATTTACCCTCATAGTTCTCCATGCCATTTCTTTTTCTCTTTTTATTTGATTAACTTGGCTCCAGAATTCTTCTCCTAATTCATCTCTTGAATCATACCATATATCTCTGGAGTGTCTGTACACCTCATAATCATTTTCTGCTGCTTCTGTTGTTGTTTGTTTATTATTTATATTCTTTATACTTTCATCATATTCTTTTCTTTTCTCTGGATCAGATAATAATTCATATGCTTCTTTTATTTCCTTAAATTGTTTTTCTTTATCCTTCCTGTCTGTACACCGCACATTGGCGTCAGGATGCAGCCTCTTAGCTAGACGAAGGTAAGCAGTACGAATACCCTGTGCACTTTCATCTTTTTTTACACCAAGAAGACTATAAAGCGTCTTTTCTTCTGTTGCTGAATTCTTCAGGGGGCCCCCACTCCGGGGGCCCCCACTCCGGGGGCCCCCACTCCGGGGGCCCCCACTCCAGGGGCCCCCATAAAACGAACGCATGCTACAGTACCGACACTTCATACGCACTACCCCGTTGTTGAGGGAAGCAGCAGACAAACCACTGCTTACTCTGCATGCACGTAGGCCCCATAAAGTGGCCCTGTCCTGTATGTAGCAATTAGGCAGCATGCATTGCTTGTATGCGAAACTGCTGCTGCTGCTGCTGCTGCTGTTGCTGTTGAGCGACATACGAGGTACTGCAGCACTCAGAAGATATCTCCCTTCTAAGTAACGCAAGCAACTTGCTGCACCAGCACTTGTGGCTCTAAGGGAAGCCATTGTGGCTGCTGGATGCTGTATATATATGTGACTGGGCAAATACAGTGTACAGACACTGAGCTCTCGCCCTCAACGCCAGGTATGAGGGGGCCCCCTGCAGCCAATCAAAGGCCTTAGGGGCCCCTGCTGCCTCATGGAGGCGGATGATTGCCCATGGGGGCCCCTTCCTTTGGCTTTCTCCTCTTCAGGGCCCCTGTTCGTACTGGGCTGTGTCTGCTGCACTTGGGCGCTTTCCTAGGGTTTACGTACACCCCGTGAACAGATAGACCAAATTTTTCGGAAGTTAGAGGCTCTAGAGGTTCTGTTGCCTACTGTTTGCTGCTGAGCAAGACAAGGAAAAGGATAACCCAAGACGCCACACGCACACAGGGGCGCAAGGAAAGACCTAGCGGAAATAAATAATGATTTACAGCAAATATCTACATATAAATGAATCAGTTACATTCAATAAGAGAAATTTAGCCCTCTACAACGCACAGAAAGCAGCAACACCGCAGCCGCCCCAGGAAGAATGCCTTGCATGCACACCACTGCAGAACGCGCTAGCTGTCCTCCTTCTACTCTTCCGTCTGAAATAAATGAAATTCGTATGTTTTATATATTCCTTCTTTATGAATCTAAAACATTTTGTTTTTTAGGCCATTGGCTGCGCCCCTTCTTCCGGCTTGTCATAGGGCCCCCAGCTGTTCCGGTGTATCGACGGCAAACAAACCCATTTATGTTGCATTATCTCAATCAAACGACTTAGATTACTTAAATTATATTGTATTTCAAACGCTTATTGACGTGGAAGGCAGCAGACAGCGCCTGGAGGCACTGCTACCCCCGCCGGCTTCGTTGTCTTTGTGAGGACCACCACCAGTTATAACAGGGTCTTGGACGAAATACACCTATATGCATGCATTTAGTGGAGTATCTAAACCTTCTGCAGCACTAGGGTTTTAGCAGCCCCAACTATTTGCATGCATGCGTGCATTAATGCACTGCCAGCATGCAAACGCCTTGCGCCTCCTTTGCCATCTACAGCCAGCAACAGTTGCCGCAGCAACAACAGCAGCAGCACATGGGTCCGCTGCAGGCAGATGACGGGCGGAGTTCCCTGCGACGCTGCACCATGCTGTGTACCTGATTCTGCAGCACCAGCTGCAGCAGCAAATGGTGATGCCGGTTCTTACACATGCAGCGGCTGTGCGGAGTCCTACGTTGCGTTCCCATTCAACAAATTGTTAAATGCATTTCCTAGTGTGCCTGGTTGTAGCACTGCAGCAGCAGGCAGCAGCTGCTGCGAGGTGCAGACAGCAGCCTCCAGTGACACCCGATCAGTGGAGTTGATTCTGTTGCTGCTGCCATTGTGCGGCAGCTGCGCAGCAGCAACTACAGACAAGAAATGGGCAGCAACGCCAGAAATCTTCAAGTCTGCTGCATCCGCATCTGCTGCTGCTGCTGCTGCGAGTGTCAACCCGCTACGCTCTGAGTGCCCCTTTCCCTGTGGGTGCCCTGCATGCACGTCTTCGTTGTTGTTGCTGCTGCTCTTGCGCCTGGGGCTGCAGGGGCTGCATGCACTGCCTTCTACTGAGGGTCTGTTGACTTGCGGAGAGAGCGATGTTCCGCAGAAGCAGCCCAACTTCTTCCCCCTGCTGTTGGGGTGTACAGACAGGTGGCCCTGGGCTTGGGCGTTTCAGGAAGCCCCTTCTGGTGAAAGAAACGAATTCAGTCTATCCATGTATAAGGAAGAATATATAGCTCTTAGGAAAATAAACTACAAGCTGCTGGTTCCTGTTCGTAGTGAAGCAGCAACTCTCGCTGCACCTCCGCCAGCAACAGCAGCAGCAGCAGCACCAACAGCTGACTCGCCACCGCCGCTGCCTTCATTGCTGCAGCTGCTTGGGGAACTGCCGGAGGCATCACGAGGGACTCAGAATTTGCTGCTTCTGTTGCTGCTGCAGCCGTCACGTTGGTTGCCGCCCCCTCATAAGGGTCCTCAAGAAGGCGCCCACAGGGGCCCCCAAGGAAGGGAGGGGGAGAGCGGTTCCTTCTGTCTTCAGCAAGCAACCGACAGAAGACGCTACGGTTTGTTTTCTGGGTTACTTTACAGGGCAGCGGCAGCAGCCGCTGCAGCAGCAGACGTCAGTAATGGAGCAGGCGATTCCCGCAACAGCGGCCACATCCCCAGCAGCAGCAGCAGCAGTGGCAGTAAACCTCGCACGGCTGCTGTTGCCCCCAGTTGTGCATTGGTTGCGGAAGCGTTTAGATGCTGCAGCAACTGCTGCTGGTGCTGCAGCAGCCCCCGTCGTTTGAATTCTTCGACTTCGGTTTCCTTTTGCTGCCTCGAGACCTCTGAGTGGCTCTGCATGCTGCGCAGCCGCTTCGCCCACATCTTCCTTCTTTTCTACGGCTTCCCAGCGTCGCCCTCCTCGCGACATGTACGTACACCCAGCGAGGGACCACGAAGCAATGAGACCCATCATACAGAAACCTCCAACGTGTTGCATAATGCACACCCTGCGCCACTGTTTGTTGCCGACGTGTCGGCTGCAGCACGAGGCGGAACATGACACAAGGTAAAGGAGCAGCAACTCCTTGGACTTGGTGCATGAACAGGCGGTTTATTGTTTTGTTGCTGCTATTTCTGTTGTTGGCTTCTTTATTTGTGCTATTACTGTCTCAGTAGGAGTGCTTGGGCTAAGGGGAACTCGTTTTTGTGTCAGCACAAGCAACTCTCTATTTCTTGCATTTAAGCATTACTATTCCGTTTTTTTCCGAACACAACACTACTTATTTCTTGTAATTGTACATAATTATTACTTATGTTCCCCTCCCGAAAGTATTTAAACGGTTTGTTTACAAGTAAACGTGCACGGTTTTGGTGATGGCTGCATTTCTCAACCGCAGCACTCTGTTGCTGCACCTGCTGCTGCTGCACTTGCTCCTGTTGCTGCTGTGTGACAGTGCGAGTTGATGTGCACACTTTGTGCTGGTCAGCAGATATGCTACAGAATATGGCGGTCAATAAGGCTGCGCTTGGCGATTTTTGCTGCAACCGCTGCTGTTGTTGCCGCTGCCCGTGGCAACGCCGCACTGCAGCACCCATAGCACAAGACGGCAGGACAAAGAAGTTACCCCGCGGCCGACACACATCACACACATACGGATTTACAAGCACATATACATACACAAACACAAGCACACAGATAAACGCACAACCACCTGACGGTCGGCCCTAAACCGTAGGCCATAAACCCTGGGTCTTACCTGGGACCAAGAGCAGACGCGGCCGTCCTCTCCGCATGTGATTATGCCAAAGCCGTTGTTTTCGCTGCCTGGGGTGACGACTGCTCCTCTGAAAGAACATACAAAGAGAGCAAAAGTAAAACATGTCACAGTTCCGTCAAATAGGACAACGTGGCTGGCCTCGGTTGTTCTATGTGCTGTCTGTTAAGAGCAAAAAAAGCATGCACTACCACGTGTATGCATGCACTGCTAGAATCGTAGGAAGCAACGATGCATGCTATGCATGCTGCTGCTGGCTTCGCTTACCGAACAACACCGCTGTGGCCAAGCGGACCAGAGGGGGGGACGGCACCAGACGAAGATGAAGTGTGACTGCGAAATACTGCCGCGGGAGTAACGCCGTCTAAGTTCGCGTGCAGCAGCAGCAGCTGTCCAGACACCGAACCTGCATCACCATCGAAAGGGTTTGGTAGGGGCCCAGAATACAGAACAAACCAAAGAAAGTGCAACAGCGGCAACACGCAACAAACAACACGAATGCAAAAAATAAATAACAGACAACCGGCAAACGCAAAACAGGAAACAAACTGAAGACAAGACGCAAACAGGAAGCACGACGCAGCATGCAACAAGAGAGAAACTATACAAAAAATATGCAACGATAACTGTTCGCATGCTCTTGTTCTCCTTTTTCCCCTTCTTTTTGCATTGTTTGTCGTATTGTGTTTGCTGGTTTTACCTGCGAGGACAAAGAGTCTGCCAACGACTTCGTCATAGAAGGTGTCAACGACATAACCGCAGCTTTCCCCTTCTCTGATATCTGGGTGACTACGGATTTCAAGCCATTCTGCTCTACGTTGTCCGTACACCTCAGTAGTGTTTCCTTGTGGACTGCTGCTGCTTGCACTTGCTGCTGCATCACTTCTGCTGCTGCGGAAGCGTTGTAAACCCTCCAGCTGCCACAGCCCGACGTCTTCCATCGAGCTGCGGAGGCAGATACAAGCAGCGTCAGGACCAACGAGAGACAAACCTTTAACAGCTCTTTCTTGTGAAAAGCAATAAACAAGAGAAGCATCCGCGGCTTCCTCTGTATTGCCACCTGCTGCTGCCGCCGCTGCTGTTGCTGCTGCCGAGGTGTCGGAAAGGCAAACCAAAGAATCCTCGCCCCCGGAAAACAACAGCTGCTGATACAATGGGTGGAACTGCAGCGCTGTCACCGAGTCCCCATGAACCTGAATATCCCACAAGAGCCGTTTGGTGCGTTTCTGCCTCGATGCCTTCTTCTGCTGCTGCCCATTACCAGCAGCAGGAGCAGCAGCCGGAGACGTGTTATTACCCTGGCTGCAGACAGCGCGCAAATCGAACCCCTTTATGTTGTTTTTAAACGAAACTGCAAATGCTAAATCGTCTCCCCGGACTGCCAGAGCCCACATGTCCGCCTCGCGGCTCCCAAGCGGTGCAACCTGCACTGATGCATCAGCAACAGTTTGTTTCCCCTCTTGCTGATTCTTGTTGCAATGATGAGGGGCCCTTAAATCCCAAAATTTAACCGCCCCATCTTGCGAACTTGTCACCAAAACATGACTATCGCGGTGTAGAAATGACGAACTCGTGACAGGCGCATTGTGGGCACTGTCTATGGTTGACGTACACCTCAGCTGCTGCGCATCCACCACGTAAATTGTGCTGTTGGCATCAATGCAACACACGTCAGTAGATAAAGTGGGGCTTCTGACGACGTGCTGCAGACATGGTGGCTCGCTGGACGCTTCAAGCGAGCTGCCTTCTTTCTTATTTGATAAATCGAGGCACGCCGTACATTGAATTGCGGGCAAATTCTGCAACTGACCGCTTCGGGGCCCCCTTATGGGTCCACAGCCCTCAACTTCAGGCACGCAAAATCCGGAGAAGGCGCTCATCAGGTTCAAGTTACTTTGTGAATGCTTCGACCTCCCCCGCTAATCCCCCGTGGGCTGTTTCTCGTATACTTGCCAATTCTTCTTTACAAGGGAAAAGGACGGGAATAAATAGGACTCCCACGCATCGTATACAGCAGGTATTCTCCGAGTTGATCTAAGTATAAAACGCTAAGGAAGCAGTTGTTGCTGAAATCGACAGCAAAACCGCGGCAATTCTCCTCCTGTCGTCGTCCCTTGCTCCTCGTGTGCACTGCAGTAAATGGGCAGATAATTATTTAGAAAGTGCTATACCCGTCATGCATAAATGCATAAAATAATAATGCGGAAGAACACAGCCAATTGGAAGAGTACAACAGTAAAAATTACCTAATTTTGACTGAATCAATTCTCTGTGGACGCAATTGGGTTGTCCGCGGAGTACAGATAATAAGCAAAAGGCTATGCCAAGACCAACATCTGCATATTTCAGTGAAAAAACGTTATTAATTTCATTATTTCCATTTGATATTCAAGGAATAGAAGTGCTTCGAACAAAAAAAAAAAGAATAATGCATGCATCGGCCGGGGCCCCACAGTCCCGAGCACATTCCCTTCCATCGTAGCAATTGCATCTACCAAAAAATGCTTTTTATCGGTTTTCCTCAATTTATAGCAGAGTTCTTAAATGGTATTTAAAGTTGAGTAATGGGGAAAAGTGGATCTACGTGTGTACACTGATCTAGGCCTTACATACTCTGGCGCACCGCTAGGTGTGACCGGAGTCGTTGGTGTGAATGTTGGGAGAAATATTCTGCGTTTTTGCCTTTCAACACATTATAGAAGCTCTTCAAGAAATTGAATGCATATGTGTAATGACTACTTTAAAAAAGGCTTCAGAAGTCTCAAAAACAAGTAAAAAGTTTCCCACCGGCGGTCACGCGTGTGCGCTGGGTGACCGGCCGCCGTGTCCCAAGAGCAAGCACAGGACATTTCCTCAAATCAGCATAAAAGATTCTAGAGGAAAAAATATTATTTTGACTGAAAAAGTTGCCTGGTGAACTCTGGTGTTACGTAGTTGGTGAAAGTGGAGATGTGTATGTGCGGTGTACTGATTCCGTCTGAAGCTGCTTAACTTTGCAACTTTGTTGGGATATTTTCCCAAGGCGTGTCATGTTTGGCCCTTCTGCTTGATGAAATAATTCATAAGGAGGTTTCTAACGGGTTTATCGTACTTTTGTCTCCGCCTTTTCTCTTGAAAATGACAAGTCACCGTCGTGCATGCCTGCATGCGACCCGTGGAGGTTTCGACAGCCTCACGTGCAGGCAGCGCAAGCATGCGTTTTCTCCAACACACACATGAAGGCCGTCATCATGGTTAGTGCTCGTTTGCAGAAAAATTAGCGACAAGTGTAGCACTACAACTGGCCGCCCCTCTATAGTGTCTACTAGGGCTTAGGACCGCTTAAAACTTAGATACTCTGCTGAACAAAGTTGATTGCTGTATGGACTTCTGCTGAAGAACATATTGCTCCACTTCTCGCTTTTTGTGGGTGCACCACTGCCCTCGTCCTCCTCTGGAGCGCGACTGTGAGTCACATGTTTGTCTTCGTCGTACTCTACATTAAAATGCACCTCAATAGACAAAAGAAAAACAAACCATGGTGAAAACATGTGGAAAACAAAACTGAAAGGCAGAACGGAAGCACAAGGGTCTGCTGACTTGCCCCTTCAGCCGCCCCTCTTGTAGATGTGCTCTAATGGATATTTCTCGTTTTCGACTATTATTAGTGCTACTCTGTGCACATTACTCTTATTGATGTGGTCGGTGTTTAATGCCAGCATCTTGAGTTGTGCCACTTCCTGTTTAATAAATAAGCAACTCCAGCGGTTCTTTTTCCCCCTTTAGAAACCGGTAAACAACATTTGCTGCCCTCTGGTATGGTTGCCGGCGTAGTCCTATCCCTCGTGTTGATGCGTTACAGTTCAAAACGATATTGCGGAAACGCCCTATTCGTTTTAGAGTTCAGGGCTTTCGGCCTTCTGGATAGAGCGTTCACTGCAGCAGAACACCTTTGCCGCAAACAACCTCTGCTTTGTTCTTATTGCTGTTCCAGTTCTTGCTCTTGTACTAGTGCTGGTTGTTCGTGCTGCTGTGCTTGCTGATGTGCCCTTTGCTACAACTTGAGTTTACGAGGAGTTCCCCTCGTTGAGGACGGCTGCCTGATGTCTAGACAACGCCTGTGAGAGAAACCTGCAGGCGGGTTCGAGTGTGCAGTCAAAGGCGACAGCACTGGCCCCCAAAAGAGAGCTGAAAAACTCTAGCGCTACAGCAACCGAACATGCAGAGTCACGCGCCAAACTATCCTCTGTCAACTGCAGCAAATAATCAGAGAAGCAAAACCGGCGAAGGAAGGGGGTTAGAACAAATAGAAAGAAAAACAGAAGAATCGCTCAAGGCCGGCACGGATAAGAAACATTATATTTTGTTGATGCATGATAATAATAGGCATGCACTAGTAACAAGCAATAAGCTAACTGAGAAATGTTATGCGGAGAGCAGAGCTGATTATGCTGTAAGCTCATGCTTCTGTGGTGTTTTGTTTCTGGTGCTTTTGTTTTTATTGTACACCGTTGGCTCGTTGTGCGTTTCTGTTACTGCTGTTACATTCTCCTGTCCTTTTGTCCTGTTGCGTCTTTTTGGTATATTGTTTCTACTGTCACTTGTTTAGGTTGTTTTGTTACTTTTTTGTTTGCGAGCTGCCTATGTAGGATGGATGTGTTACACTTTCCCTACATTGTCTAGCTGCTCTCGATTTTGCTCAAAGGTTTCCGTATCCTTTTTGTGATACTTCTTCTTTGTCATTTAGCACCTTTTGTCTGTGAGTTTCTGTGTGATGTTTCCCTTTCCTTTCTAGGCTGGCGCATTTCCTTTTCTCTCCTGCCCCTGCTCGCGCTAGGGGAAAGCCTTGTGCGGTAAAAAGCTGAAATAAAAGCCCCAAGTATTCTCCAAACCGCTTTCTCACCTGAGGCAAGTTGTTGCGTTGTGGTTTGTTGTCCTTCGCTGGCGTCAGGTTTCGCTCCCCAGCCGACTTCCCTTGTTTTGCATGCGCATTATTGCTGCTACTGTTAATATTACTACTATAGGGATTCTCCTCGGCGGCACGCGCCTCTTTCTTCAGTTCCGTTAGCAGTCGCGCAGCTGCTGAGTAGCTTTCTGAGCGTTCAGCCTCCAGACTCGTTTTTTGAATGCCTGACGTCTCTGCCAAGAAGTCGGCAATACTCTTCCGCGCGCGAGAGCGATGTCTGTTCAGCAGCACTCCACTGGACTTGCTGCCGTGCTCAGTTCCAGAAGCTCCTGGAGTGTTGAAGGCGCCGCTATGTTCTGGTCCTGCTGGAAGTGCTCCAACGGGCGAGCCCTTGGGTAGATCCCCATGTCGAGCTGGTGCTACGTGGAGGCGAATGCGATCTGTAGTTACACTTGAAGCCGCTGAGGCAGGCAGCTTTCCGTCTTGTTTGCTCCCGCTGTACTCCTGTTCCTGTTGTTGCTGCTGCAGCTGGGTATTTCTATCTGCTCTACTTGCAGTAAAATCGCCAGCTGGAGAGTTATCAGCAAGGTCCGTTTCAAGTGCATTTACAACATCTCCTGCATCTGCGCATAGCCTCTTGCCTTCGCTGAAGAGGACGAATACGCGGGCGAATATGTCCAGAGTGCGGCTTTCCAAGGACTCATCTTCTGTCTTGACAGCAGTAATATATCCACTATTTCCTCCGGCAGACTGCTGTGCCTTCAACGTGCGCCGCCATTCAACAGCAGCACAGTGGCAGGCACCAGCAAGCGATTGGATCCTCTGCCTGCTGCAGGTCTTCATGCAGACCGCCACCCCAAACCCTCCATCATTACTATAACTATTATTGTTACGTATATTATTATTAAGATTCGGCAGAGTATGGGACAACGTCTCGGCGGTGGGACTGCTCGCTGCGACCTGTGGATAATATGAAACGGATATGCATCCAGCTCTAAATAGATCAACCAGACAAATAGTAATCCACACGGCATATTGATTTGCAGCTGAGTTGCAACAATCTCTGAATGCAAGCATGACGCTTAGCCGGGCTTAAATGTGTCTTGAGTATTAAACAAATAAACAAAGTACGGTGAGCGCACAAATATCCAGTGAGGGTATAAACCGAACACAAGTACAAACAACAAAAGAACAAAACAACCAAACAAACTGCAAGGACAAAGAGTACAGAGAATGCCTAAGGCATCACGAACACTCCTCTGCAGAAGAAACAAACCAGGCAAGTCTCCAACAAATACAAGCAGTGCAAACGACGACGAAAACCCTTCAAAGGAAGCCCGTTCCCTACTCACCTCGTGCCCAGCGAAGATTGCAACAAGGACTGCTTGATCGCGCGAAGTGGTTTGCTGATGTCCTTTTCCCGTTTGTCGGAATTCATGTTTAGTGGTGTTCAATGCGAGAGAGAAGTGACCGCGGCTTGTCGTGCTGGTGACGGTGGCGCGGCTGAACGCAGAGGGCCCTTCATCTTGGGACCCCCCCAAAACACTTTGGGCCGCAGCGGACAGCGCACGACGCAGCAGCTCCAGGCTCTCCTCGTTTGCTGCACCCGGTGGCAGCCACAGCAGCTGCGCTGCTACGGCAACGGGACCGCTACTGCCTGCACCCTGCAGCAGCTGTGGAGGTCGCAAGCACTCCAGCAATATCCCGCTATAGCCGGCAGAGGCAGCAGCAGGTTCTACTGCTGCTCCTGATGCTGTATCATACGCTTGCTGCTGGCCCTTATTGACTTCCTTTTGTGCCTCTTTCCTGCTGTTCGCACCAAAGCTACTGCTCGTTTCTGCCTGCTTCACCAGAAACCCTAATGACCCCGCAAATGCGTCTGCAGCCAAGAGAGGCGACAATCCAAATCCCGCCTGCATGTTCAGGACGCTGAAAAGAACAAAGTGCAGGCAGTTGACTATGCGGCGATCTTGGGACAGAACCCCCATGCGCGATCCACATCGCCGAGTCATCTCTTGTAGAAGGTCCAGAGCGGCTCCGCAGGAGAAGTTTTCTGCACAAGAAACAAGCAACAGCAGCAGCGTCCACTCCTCAGCTGTGCTTGCAGCTCGAATTCAGGTGTACCGACGACTCTTCATCTTGTATTTACCTTCGACAGAGACTTCGTTGTTGCACTTTTCGGAGTTGTAGGAATGGAAGAGGGATGCGAAGAGACGAACAAGAGGCTTTGGACAGCGCACGCTTTGCAGAGTAGTCTCAAGTTCTGCGTTGTTCATTTGATATGCAGTTCGCTGCCGCTGGTTTTCGACTGCACAAAGGGCCAGCATGCACAGCTGGGCGCCTCTGAACGACACCCGCTTCAGCAGCTCGTCTCCCCTGTCGTCGCAGCGACCTAACGCCGAAGCACCCGAAGTGGCTTGTGCAGCAAGCTGCTTTGAAGCAGCCAGCATCAGCACCGACAGCAGCAGTGCCTCGGAGAACAGTTCCCTATGCAAGTACAAGTCTGAGCCGCAGTAGGTGTCTACGAAGGCGGTGATCTGTACGACTGTCTTGAAGTATCGCAGCAGCTGCCCAGTCAGCATGACATCCAGACGGAGTGTTTGGTCTTCTGCTTTAACGTTGCTGTCTGTAGTTTCAACGGGATGGTCTGCAGGGCCCACCAGCAGGTCCTGCTGCTGGCGCTGCAGCAGAAGCTGGTGCTGCTGCAGCTGCAACTCGAGCTGCAGGCGGAACGCATGCAGCTGGTGAAGCCACACGCGAACGCAGAGAGGCGGGTTTGGTTCCCCAAGTCGTTGCAGTTGTTCGCCTGCCAGTTGCACTAGACTGAAATATGAAGCGGTTTGCCCGGGTTGATGTTGAACAGCTTCTGCAAGTTCGAGGAGAAGCACTGCTTTCCTTTGGTTTTTCGGGTCGTATAAATTCAAATATTCTCCTTTTGCAGGAGAAGCATCTCCGCTACGCTCCTCGGGTTTATTCAAATGGTAAAGAGTCGGCAGCGCTGAAGACTGCCACAACTCACACGCCGTCAACCCTTGATATTGTATTGACGGTTGCTTTTGTTTGGCTATCTCCTGCTGGCCATCTGCAGCTGCTGCAATGTCTGTTTGTGAAATGCCTTCCCGAACGCAATGCCTCCGAAGAGAAGTGTCTGCTTTTGAAGTCAAACTGTTGCTGGTGCCGTTATTGCTGCTCCTGTTGCTGTTCCTGTTGCTGTGCTGCGCTTGTGCTTGTTGTTGCAGCAGCGCATCTCTCCTCAAGCTGGCTACCTGCCCCCAAAGTACGCCCGCATCCCCTTCTGAGTCTCCGCTAGCGGTTCCGTCGTCTAGAGGGTCCGTTCGCCAGCAGGCGATAACTTCCACGTCTTCTGTCTGTGCGACCTTCAGCAGGGCGGGACATTCAGCCACTATCTGCGAGGCCAGCAGACTTGCATCTGAAAAAGCGGCCGCTCTTTCGAGATGAGCTTCCTTTGCGTAGTAGCGGGCCCATTTGCAAAGACAGAGGGCTTTCGTTGGTTGTCCTGTTGCGACCAGCACATCCGCCAGCAGCACTAGCAGCTCCACAACTGCTGGGGGTGCACAAATAGCTCCTGCTGCAGGCAGAAGACTCGCAGCCGTTCCAGCACCGCTGGGAGGCACCGGAAGGCTTGACAGCTCGTCGCTCTTCAAAGAAATGGAAGGTGGAGATTCTTCGCCCTTAGTCACGCGCTCTTGGCCCCTCCCCTCAGATGTGACGTTCAACTTCAACGTTCTATCAAGGGCTGCAGGCTGCCGCCCCGAGGCCAGCTGCAACAAACGCGTCGTCAGCTTGGCTGCTGCAGTCATATGCTTCTGGGTCAAAAGAAGCCGCGCCACCCGCTGCCAAGCCCTAACCCCGTTCTGCAGGAAATGCAGGAAGCAGAGAAAGTTTGAGTTAGCTGTAGCCATCTACTACGGCCGATGCTGTGGCGGACTCTTTTCACAGCGGATACATGGAACAGAAAGCTGAAGAGTTACATCGGAACAGACGCCAAGTCTAAAGGCAATTTTATGCAGCATAAGCAGGAAGTGTGGGGAACCGTAGCTGCACGTGTTTGTGTTGATGTGTACAGACTCACTAAGACAGCCGGCTGCAGACAGAAGACCTCTTGCAAGTCGGATGCAGTGGTGGCTGTGAGTGCAGCTGCCTCAGCTGTTGTGCAGGCTACGTCGTTCTGGCCCAACGCTTCTTGCACTTTCGAAAGCAGCATTAAGGCGAAGTAGACATCTTGAGTAGGAAAATCTCTACAAAAGAACAAGAGCGTGACAGTAAGGAGTAGCTGGTGGCGATTCAGTTGTTTGGCCGACGAAGAAACAAATGAGAAAAAGAGTCGGGAGGTACAACGACTTTGAGAGGAAACAAAACACACTTTGGACACTGCGGTTGCTGCAGCTGCACGTTCAGCGCCTCCAACACTTTGTGCAGTGTAATCCGCTCTGGCTGCGTTTTGTTTCTGTTTCCATGTCGAGCTGCTGCAGATGCATCCAGACGAAATCCGATGCAACGAGACAGTCATGAACCCTCTAAATGAATTCGTATACGCGCTGCTTGTTCTGTTCTGTTTGCTTGCACCGGTGAGCGTTGAGTACACAACCGTGGAGGGTTTGTGCTGCAAGCAATGAGCTGCCTTACAACTTCCTTCTTGCAAAAACTGTGACGGCGAAGCAGCTCTCCTGCTGTTGCCAGTGATTTCCGTTTGCATGTCAGCTTCCGAGTCTTGAACCAATTCATACAGCAAAGCTGTCAGAGAACTTGCGACTTGTTCAAGTGCCTCGAGGCGTCTCGCCACTTCTTCATGCTGATCATATGCGGCATTCGGCAGACCAGGACTTTTTTTCTCTAGATGTGCTTATATGCACGAATGCTCGGCGATAGACGAAGGGTCTGCTCGTCTGTCGCATGCCGTTGATATTTTCACCATTATCACGTCGTATATATATATATATATATATA